TCATGAAAAACGGACTGGTACCTGATGCTCCTTTCACGATAAACGGAACGAATATCTCCGAATGCTCTAGCTATGTGTATCTAGGTCGGGAAGTCAACATGATGAACGACCTAGCTCCAGAGCTGTGCAGAAGGAAACGCGCCGCGTGGGGAGCATTTAAGAATATCGAGGGAGTAGTGAAGAAGACAAAGAACATCCGGCTCCGCGCTCACCTTTTCGACACTGCTGTCCTTCCTGCTTTGACGTACGCCTCGGAGACCTGGACTCTACGAAAGCAGGATGAGCATGCTGTCAGCGTTATTCAACGCGCTTTGGAAAGGACGATGCTCGGAATTTCCCTATACACGCAAGTGCAGAAGGGAATCCGGAGTTCCGAGCTCCGTCACCGAACGAAGATCAGGGATGCCGTTGATTACGCCAAGAAATCGAAGATCAGGTGGGCCGGACACGTTATGCGATATAGTGATGACCGTTGGACCAGGGCGGTTACTGACTGGATCCCTCGGGACATCAAACGAACACCAGGAAGGCCGCCGACGAGATGGTCAGACTTCTTCACGAAAGCTCTGAAAGAAAGGAATGTTGAACCTCGTGTCCCTGAAGCGAGAACGGTTCACTGGACCACTCTGGCTCGTGACAGGGACGAATGGAGACGTTACTGGCGCCCGCTCGAGGATTTCGATGATCAACGGGACGACAGGTGATACAGGTGAGGTGGTTACAGTGTTTAGGAATCCGGTGAATCATTTTACCCTGCGCTCTCCGAGTCCCTCGATTAGTACCACATCCGGATCAGTTGCAACTCATCCTCTGTCCAGAGTTCGTCGGGTCGAGCCGATGCCTTCGATTGGGAGGTTTATGGGCGAACTCCTCCATCAGGAGCCTGTGGAAGTATTTCTTCATCTACGCCTGACCTGACCAGGCTTCCTCAAGGATGCTCCCTCGCTGTTCCTGACACTACCCGACGTCCTGAGTAGCCCGGTGATGCGCTTCAGCCAGCTGAAAGACAAACTTCTCTATTTCTCGACTATCAAGTTTCTCATACGAGCCTCCGGAATCTGGGAATCCATTCTAATATCCCCTCTTTGAGGTGTTCTCTTTCGTCTCCGTGCATCTTCCACTACCATAATCTCGATTCCGTTCTTGTCCTTGATCTCTTGAGAAGATCGATGGCTATAAGTAAATCATTACGAACGATAATATTATGACAAAGTTTTAAAAAATATAAGGGGGGAACAAATCAAAGAAGTAGTTCAACTTCCGTTTCGCACGTGCCCTAGACGGAAGTCGAACTTTACAATACTCTCCTTTCGTGCTCTTCTATGTTATGTCTGCTAGGTAAAGCCAAGTCTTCTCTGAGCAATACCTTCATCTCCTTTACAGTTTTTAGGGATGATCTTCTTGCAAGCACATTTTCTTTCCCTCCACTGCTGTAGGCTACCTTCTAGACCTTCCATTTAGCGAGGAATGTCTGCAAATTGCCAAGTCATGGGCTATGGCCGGGTGAGGGATCCTCTCTCCTTCTTCTTTTTTTACTCCTATTCCTTCGCTCTCATCTACCCTTTCCAGTCCTCTCTTTTCACTGCCGAACTCATCTTTTTCGCTGACGGGACTGCCGGCCTGCGGTGCGTACACGGATATTATTGTCCAGTGCCCATCTTTCGTGTCTATCCTCACTGCCATGATCCGACTGCTGATCCTGTTGAGGGCGGAATCAAAGTCTTTGAGAGATTCCGCCAATGCCATGGCCACACCGTTTCGTTTGGTGTGTTCTTCTTTGTGGAAGAGCTTGACACCTTCTCCAATTTCTCTGACCTAGGCTTCTTTCCAGCGGGTCTCCAGAAGGCATTGGACTTGCTATCCCTGCGCTTCATAAGATACGCGACCTCTGGGACCTCCAGTAAGCGATCCGACGTCCAGAGTCCCAATTCGAACTAATTTCATCGCCTCGGCAGCTCTCTCATGCTGTCTACAGAACTCGGGCCGAGTCAAGCGGTGTCGTCCTAGTTTTATACTGATACTTTTTGAAACCCGAGACGGATGTGGTGTAGTGACAAGTGGCGCACTATCTCACACGCACGATCGGGGGTTTGAATCCCGGATCGATGTCCGCCTAGGCTATCCAAGCCTTCCATTCTTCCGGGGTCGGTTGATTGGTACCAGATTCGCCTGAGAGGATAAAAGCACTGACTTGCACTCCGGCTGACCACCGCTAGTCATTGTATAGGCCACATACGCATCCATTACGCCACTACGATTCTGAATGAAAGTCGAGTGCGGAGGCGCATCCCTCAGATGGGATTGATTAACGCCAAAAACTCGATCCTTTTTTACCTTATGGGGTGGCCTCGATAGAGATCGAACCCGATCTTTCTCTCTAAGAACATACGTGAGCCAACACTTTTATCCACTCGCCTATCCCTGCTTACACAATCAACTAGTTAATGTTATCAAATGGCTATGTGCGTTGTTTTTGTTCTACCCCTAAATTGTGCTCTGTCTTAGCATATAGTTTTTTTTCCAGTATTTCCCTCGAAACTCTAGTGATGCATTTTCCGGATCGAAACTTCGTCCATATCAGTCTTTGTCTGAAATGAGGGATCAATTGACCAAGGTAAATTTTAAAACGAAGTTTCTGCTTGATTTTTTATAAGACCAAAAAGGTATTAATCTATGAAAAATGAGACATTTGGATCTCGGACCTAGATGAGCTTGAATATAATTGATTCGCGCTCTTTCAAATTGCAAACACTCGTAGCGTGAGGAACAAGCCGGATAAAAGATTATTTTAATGAGCCACAAAGGTTGTCAAACGACTTCATCAAATCCGAAGAATAAAGGAGACTGTGTCTTTTGAACACTGTTGTGATAGAAACTTCTCACACTAACACTATTAAGCAGGCAGGAAGGCGCAGACAGTAGTCTGATGAGCTCACAGGCATGATACGAAAGACCGGATCCTTGATGCGTCCCAGAAGCGTTCCGAAGATTTTGAACGCAGATGTGAGATAAGCGTCCGAAAACACCTAAAGAATTTACGGGTTTTCATACATCTTGAATGGCCACTGCGACCAAATATCCTTAACTTGTTAGGCAGTTTTTAGAACACATTCCTCATGGTAAGAACATGCAAATTCACGCGAATACCGCGACCTCGCGTCGTTTTCGTCCTTTCTTCATAAGTCGTTCGGCGTGGAGCATTCCAGGAGCCGAAGGTACCTTGAACTCAGCTCGTAAGCTCCCAACCCAAATACTCCAAAGTATTGGGAATACTTCGGTTCAGATCATTATTCATACAAGGAGTTATTATGTTTGTGAGGTTCTCGTTCACGCAGATTTATTATGCCCATATGGGTGTGGGCTTAGTTCACGTCAATCGATAAAGATGAGGATTGCGTCATGCTCTTGAGCTTCATTCGAGAAGTAGTTGCATTTACTTGGGATGTGTGAGCGGTCTGTGGGACAAACTGTCCTGAATTCGCTTTAGGGTGTTCCGCGTACTCGACCATACTCCCTACAATGTGAAAATGATTGATGGATTTTATCCAATCTCCACCATTCATTTCTAATGTGGAGGCTGTAGATGATTGCATCCACAGTCTCTGCACTCAACACTGCTCCATATAGGTCCCATTGAGAGTATGATATCAATCACGGTACAATCTTTGGAGAAATTTCTTCGTAGACGAAATCCAAGAAGGGGGGCGTGAAAGGCATATACTATCGTGAACAACTCCTTGCTCTATGCAAAGTTGTTTTTGGCACACCTCATCATAGATCAAACTTTCTCCCTTGGTATGGTCTCGAACTTCGCTCTTCGTCACGCCCAAATCATAAAATTATACTCTTTTTCACTGTCTATTGGCCTCTTCGCAACTAAATTGTACACTGTTAGATTCTTCGTAATATATGGAAGAACAACCCGTGATGAAAATATCGCTTCAAATCATTTTCTGCCGTATCACCTGATCGGTTCCGTGGTGAGCGTGTTTGGATACGCATATGGCCAGGTACTGTAATGGTGCAGGAACGGAAGAGGTTTCGAGGGACTTTGAATAGCAGGCGGCGGGGTACTGTAGGCGGGAGATGCTTCGGAATGTGTGATGCTCAAAGCAAAACCACTTGTTATGGCATCAGGAAAGCTCAGGCACCACGAAAAATCTCAAAGGTAAGAAATGAATCAACAAATCAGATGAACGAGACTCACCTTCTGTGGAGGAATGTCCTCAATGTGGATGGTACTTTGCACATCAACTCATAACTCGATTCAACGAAGGCGTCGAATCGAGTTCTAGAGCGACCAGGCCTGGGAGACGGGCGTTAGGAACGATTTTGGGTAATCGATTCGCCGCACACAGCTGTCGCGGACCACTCATTCGCCGTTATTACAGCTCTAGCGTTCTTCATACAGTTCAATCGATATGCGATCATTATTTTATGCATAATTCTACTATTAGTACTTTTGTTCTTGTATTTCTTACCTACTGCTGCATCCTGCTACATTCCTTCGCACGCGACGCCCCTCTCACCGCGACGCGACCATTTCGTTCCTAATGCACCACACCCACCAGGCCTTATAGGTGCTGGTGCGTAACCTTGGCGGAGCTCCGCCCACGAGTGCTCTAGACTGAGGGGAAAAGTGGTCAGGGGCCATTGGACAAATGTGATCAAATCTCCAACTGGATGGATATTGCACCGGGGTGGGCAGGACAAATATGAAACTTCATAACTCTGTTCCAAAAGTTCCACAACGCGGAAAATAGGTGCTCAGAGGTCACTGGGGAAACGTGATCAAATCCCCGAGTGGGTGAAGTTTGCATTGGAGTGGGTGGGACCAGGAGAAAGTTCATAACACTGTTCGAAAACGTTTTAGAGCGAGGTGAAAAAGAGGGTAGAGGCTATGTAAAAAATGTGGTCGAATCTCTGAGATGAGCGGGACTGAGGTCAAAAACAACTCTGCTCGATAACGTCTCACGGTGTTGGAAAAAGGTGGTCAGGGGATACAGAAGGAGTGCTGTCGAATCTTCAAAGAGAGCGGGGTTCTACCTAAAGTAGTTGGAGCTAGGATCAGAATTCAAGTGTCTGTTCAGAAACATGTGATTAAATTCCTAATCACCTGTATCACATGTCGTCCCGTTGATCGTCGATTTCCTTGAGCGGACGCCAGTAACGTCTCCATTCGTCCCTATCACAAGCCAGAATGCTCCGGTAAATCGTACTCGGCTCAGGGACACGAGGTCCAACAGTCCTTTCGTCAACGGTCATCATTATATCGCATAACGTGTCCACCCACCTGATCTTCGATTTCTTGGCGTAATCAAAGGCATCCCTGATTTTCGTTCGATGACGGAGCTCGGGACTCCGGATTCTCTTCTGCACTTGCGTGAATAAGGAGATTCCGAGCATCGTCCTTCCCAAAGCTTGTTGAGTAACGCTGGCAGCATGCTCATCATGCTTCCGTAGAGTCCAAGTCTCCGAGGCGTACGTCAAGGCAGGAGAACAGCAATGTCGAAAAGGTGAGTGCGGAGCCGGATGTTGTTTGTCTTCTTTTCTTCTAAGACCCTGCATCTCATTTTTCTATCGGTTTTTCAAACTCCTCGGTTTGTATGCAAATTGACTCTTCAGGCAAGTTTCGGGCGTTTTAAATTCTCGAAATTGCTCTCTCTTTCTCTCTTGTAAGTGCTACTATAACGAAGAGGTCCCAGTTTTTAGAGGTTGTTACCTCGAAATTTGGCTTCACTCTTGCCTCGCAATGCATTGCACGAAGCATTTTGCTGCATGACCTCATTATTTCAGCGAAAGAATTCCGGTCTCCCGGATTTGCGCTGTGGGGATGTTGGTACTCCGATTTTCTATATCGGTCTGATATGTAATTTACCGATCAATCGGAACCTCGTCACTTTAGACATTTAGTGTTCCAAGTCTCAAAAACTTAGAAGGATGTGGTGGGGCTTATAGACGTAACCGTCGCGACCGATAATAGCGACCGGTTTTGACCAGTGTAGTTTTGTACTACTCGAAATGGGCTGCTGCTAACTACTCCTTGAAGGCTGCTGCTAACTACTTTTTTTTTTAGATGGGAAGAGAAGAACCAATGATAAACCTAAGTAAGACATTTTGACCTTAACGTAAAAAGGAGGAGAGCCAGGCGTTGACCGGACTTTTTGACTAGTTCTGCAAAACACAAAAACCGGAAGACTCTTGAAATGACGTAACTCGATGAGTCTGTCAGATCTACTGCTCAATGCCACAAACTGTGAAGACAAAATAGCTTTAAAAGAGAACAATACTTCATTTCTGGTATGCGAAGGTTATGTACCACCGCGTACACCATCACTTTTACAGATAACAATACCACATTTATGATGCACAAAGATTATGTGCCACCGCTTACATTAACACTTTTGCAGGTAGTTATGGACGATTACGCTGTCAACTGTTTCAGCGACTGGCCTAAATTCGATTTTCTGGGAGAGTAAGTTGTTTCCTACGGTGGATGCGCATAGTCTCACATTTTCCCACTGACTTCATAATATTCAGCTTCGCTACGTGGACAGATCTGTGGGAAGGTACTGCAGCTAGCACTCAATACACTGCTATTGTCTTTGAGAACCATCAAGCTAGCCTTACAGGCGCTCAGGTGAGTGCTGTCTTCAAACTTCGAGCCAGAACCTGTTCGAAGCCGTGGACGCCGAAGATTGAATGTATGCAAACAACTGATCTGAATGAGATAGTTTCGTTTGCTTGATGAACAAGTGTTTCCTTCACTTTTCCTGCGATCACCTAAATATAGGGGCCGACGCGATGTTGTAGGCGAGATTATCAAAATCCTCTTGAGTTTGTCAGTTACTTCATTTGACCTATTCGAAGTGGTGATCATATTAGGTCGCTCTCATTCTGTTGAACACCTCCGCATTCACAAACTGATGATGTAAATGAACACGTAAGAAGCTCCGAAAGCGGTAAATCGGTCAACCTTGCTACAGCTTTGGAACAAAAGCTCATGAAGATTTGACAGAAATCCGAAGTGTCCTTTTCAGATGTCTAGACTTGTTAAGCAGATGAAATGTCACGTCTTTCATTTCTGCACGACTTTCCCGCTGGATCGAGTTCCAATTTTCGAACACGAATGAAATCTCTTCCTTTTTCTCTCTCTGCCTTTGGTTCACCGGTAATGGAGCCCGAGTACCGTAAAAGAATAAATATGGCTGGAAAGCATGGAAAAATTATCTCTATTGATGAAAATAAACTGGCCTTCAGTTGCTACTGGATCTACACAAAAAGCGAGATCGCCTTCTGGTTCGACGATGCTTGAAGAACCACCCTCTGGCTGACGCTCTTCGACTCACCGACTTCCCTTCATTGGCAATATTCAAGCGGGCCAATAAGAAGCCTATCTTAGTGGTGGAGTGAGCTTCTACTAGTTTCTCTCAAGAAAAATTGAATCTTCTTTGGAACCAAAACTTATTTAGTTGTTATCTTGAATCAGCAGGTTTAGTAGGTTTAATAGGTTCAATACTGGGCTTCCCGTATATAGGGTGTGAGATGAAGCAGAGGTATGTGAGGTAAAACTCTGTATATGGCCTCATATACTGGTGACAAGACAAGCTCTTCGTTCAAATAGTGTCCATAGATATGCTATTCATTGCACTCGAGGTGCTTTCAGAAAACTTGGGATGGATAATGAATACATTTCATAAAGTATATTGCTTTCGAAGTACGTACAAGTAGTGCGAGAAACAATGCGCTTTAGCAATGAACTTTTTTCCGGGCAAACTCTGAAGAAACCTGTATCTATGGGAAATTCAGCAGAATTAATTAAGGTTTATAAGGAGAAGGCTCTAACTAATTGTGAGATTTGGCAATGAGCGACGTAATCTTCCACACTTTCCAGAAAAGAGATTTCGTGGACGAATTTTTTAAAATCAGTCTTTAGACTGACAAAAAGCTTGAGTTCAGCAATGTAAACACCACATGTCTTTAATCATGTCAATGCTCAACCAAATCCAATGCCTAGCCAGGCTATGTTGCTTGTTGGTTTTGCGGTGAAGGCGCTAAACTATTTTGTTTTTTTTCCAGACTCCGTCGGCTCCTGCTGGCAGAGCTAGAAGGGTTCCTATCGAATGCCGATTCAGACCAGCGATCGGCTCAATTCTATAGCCGCAAAAACAAAACGAGCCCATGTAATGCAGATCCAGAGAAGTAAGGTTACACTTGTTGCACTTCAATACCGAACATTATTCACCTCAAAGGTCGCCAATATACGCTTTATGTTCGCTTTTGCATCTTGACCGAAGATTCAAAGGTCGAAGAACTTGCGTGGTCTGGTAGCTTTTTAACAGTTATTCAAAAAGCCTATTATTTTGATCAAAAGTTTTCTCACATTGTGATGATGACCGGTCTGCAATCGCAAGCACTGTGCCGAATTCGCGGCTCGGGGAATCCCGAAAAAAAGGCCTAGCTTTTCCGCGGTAGACGGTGGTCATTTGACCAAGTTTTGGAAAGTGCTGGAGTATCCGCTCAAATATTTTAGGAGCATACACTTTCAAGGGTTTTTCTTTCTCTTTTTATCTTGTTTTGAGCAAGCCGTTGTCATCTATCACGCAAACCTCCATAGACATACCTGACATTCAGTATTCTTCAACTTTGGGGCCCCTTCTCCACTCACCGAAACGTGGAATTTCCAATAACAGAGGCAGTCTTTCGATTCATTTCAAAGTTCCAAACAACAAGAGCACTACTTTATTCGCAACCTTTGAACCAGGATGGAGTAATATAGCTTATGATGAAACTGTCTTTTGGTTTTCCGGAGTCTCTCACAGTTGAGGAACTTTTGGCGGAGTAGGTAAGTGACCTAGTGGTCAAAATCGTGAAATTTCAGCAATTTAAAACTAAATATTTTATTTACTTCGTTAGTCCTGATAGCAGGCCCGAAACATTAACCGTTCTGGTGTTGCGCGATCCTGAAAACAGTTCTCTCGGTTTTCGTGAACCATTTGTTACGAGCGGTATAGTGTACGCCGTAAGAAATCGCAAATTCACGTATTACCGCGTGCTCGCGGCTTTTTGGTCCTTCCTCCATAAGTCGGTTCAGAGTGGTGTATTCCAGGAGTTGAAAAATCATTGAACTCCACTCATCAAGCCTTACAAGAAAATCTGCTCGAGTTTTGAAAATTCTATGTTCGAAATGGCGCCATGAATTTGAGTTTCATTTAAAAAGTAATTGCATGTGCATGGAGTGCACGCCTTAGAGCTTGTAGAAGCTGATCGGTCTGTGAGAATGAAGTCCTGCATTAGCTCTAGAGTGTGCCGCGTAATCGACTTTACTTAGCATAATGTGAGAATGATTTATGGGTTTTATTCAGTCTCCCTACGGATCTCCTTCACTGTATGTTCTCTCTCACTGAAGGATCCCCAGCCGGTTAGTGACGAGGCTACGTAGGGCGTCAGTAGGTGGCGGATAGGGGAGTTAATCGCCGAGAGAAATTCACCGGTACTTGCCCAGAGACGCAGGTGATTCTGCTGTGCAAAGTCGATATCCCATCTGTTTCGCACAGGCGTATCCACGCATACGTGGTGTAGAGTCTGTGGGTGCAGTTGGTATCCTGCCCATCGACTCTGCCAAAAGCTTGTATTCGAGTGACTGGGAGTATCTGGTAGGCGATTCGGGGCGGCCTTAAAAAACAAAGCCCCTCGTCCACATCAACTTCGGGATAGCCTGGCAAGCCCCCGGAGTCAACCTAGCCCCCACGTCAGCCAGGCATGCTGCACGTTGGGTATCTAATCGCCAAAAACACTAATAGAAATGGGCCTCATGGCCTTGAACCTGAGGGAGCCCCCAATACGGCAGCTTTGGGTACGACCGCCCGGGGGGAGTATTGCTCAAACCACAGGACCAAGAAACAGGCTGCCCAAAAGGAGAAGGACTAAGGTGGCGATTTGTACTTTCAACGCACGGACGCTTGCATCGGAAGCATGTATAGAAGAACTGATGATGCAAGTTAGGAAGATCAAGTATAACGTCATCGGACTTACCGAGACGAGAAGGCATCTCCTGCTGCACGCGGTATTTGAGACTGGAGATGTA